CTCTCTCTCTCTCCACCCCCTCCCTCCCTCCCTCTCTTTAAAAGAGTTTGTTTTTCTTTTAATTAAAAAGGTAAGATGTGTCCATATTGGTGGCAAATTTGGAAAATTAAGCAAATAATTATTTTAAATAATCTTACTAATACCTTATAATTTTTTTGCTGAGTGCAAACACACACACACAACACACACACACACACACACACACACACACACACACACACACCAAGACACAAACACATATATGTTAAAGCTAAAATGTATTGAGCAACAGCTCAGATCCATTGAATTTGAATTTGCACTAAACATTTTACATGCATTGGATCCTCATATAAACTTTCAGGGCCATGTGAAGAGAACTGTTTTAGTTTTTGTTTGCAGGCATCTATTCCTCCTCCACTGACAATGCTCCCATGATTTCATCTTGAGTCTGCAGTCTTGGTCGAGCAGCCAGTGGTGCTCTATCATTTTCTGGCAAATGGTTGGACACATATCCCAAAATAGGCCTATCAGATGCTCACTGTGAAATCTGAATCAGAAATGAGTCAGAAAGATCGAGCAAGTACTTTATCATTCTCATCCATATGGTGGTATCCTGAAAAGACTCCCTTGTTTTTGCTATTAAGATCCAATTAGCTGCTCTGGGACCTGCCCTTTTCCATGTAGGGTTCTTTAGCTCTTCCTCTGAACTTGTGAATGAATTCTTTCAATAACATTGTTTTAAAAAATTATTATGCAGTTTGGTTTCTCCCACTTACCACAAACAATCTCTAAGCAACACAGAAATATACTAGTATTATTCTAGTTTACAGAGACTGAAACTGAGGCTTAATAAAATTAAATGACTTTCCCAAGATCACTCAGGCTGTAAGTGGTACCAAGACTTAAATGTGTTTTTTTCCTTCAATATTTGGGGGACTTTTGTTTGGGGAACTGTGAAGGAGTAGCTGTCAGAGTAAAATAAAGGAAATGGTGAGGAAAGTATAGGATAACAAAAAGAACCAAACAAATAGAAATTAATGGGCGAGGGAAAGAAAGTGTAGCAGAGTAGAAGAGGAGGAATGGTAAAGGGTAGGGAAGATATGTGATGAGAGATCATGAACTGAAATCAATTTCCATGTATATATGAGTTTGTTGGGTGGGATGAACCCAACTACTAAGCATAACTATAAAGTTTATAAAATAAAAGATAAAAAGAAAGTTGTGCCAGTTTATAATCTCACAACTAGTGTTTCAAAATTAGTTCCATTCCTAAAACATGAATGCTAACTTTTAAAAACAAATGCCAATTTAATAGTTGAATTTTTTTTTTTTTTTTTTTTTAGCTGTTTCGTGGCTGTGACCAAAAGACCTGACAAGAACATTTAGAGGAGGAAAAGATTATTTGGGTTTATAATTTCAGAGTTTCAGTCCATGGTCAGCCAAATCCATAGCTCTAGATTTGAGGTAAGGCAGAACATCATGACAGAAGGATGTGGCAGAAGAAAGCAGCTTAGGACACAGCAATAAGGGAGCAGTAATTCCACTCACCCAGCACAAAATATAAATTCCAAAGGCATGCCCCCAGTGACTCGCCTCTTTCAGTCATACCCTACCTGCCTATAGTTAATCCATACCAGTGGATTAATCCACTGATTGGGTTACACCTCTCATAACTAATCGTTTTACCTATGAAAATACTTGCATTGTCTCACACATGAACTTTTGGGGGATAATTCACTTCTAAACCACAATAGAAATGATAGCTCATATTCTATTTGGCATTTCTTCTGATATATTTTCCCTTTTCACTAAATTAATAGAAGCTAATTA